TCTCTGTTTTCTTTCTAGAATATTCAACCGAGCGACTTGGTTCGACTACTGCTAGAAGGTCATGAACCTCAGACTAGCGATCTCCGAGCCCGAGCTTCCAACAACCCTAGTGGTGGAAATTCGTATACCGGTGTCTCCATCCCAAATGGAATGCTACAATCCACTCGATCTTATCTAAATGAATCATTAGCTTCGTTGCCCCCGAGTCAGGTCCCCAGTGGTCGTCAAAGTCCAACAACTGGATACGGGATTCCTGGCACGACAAGTAGCCCAGGGTTGGCCAAGGCTGCTTCGGAAACTGGCGGATTTGGGACCACGCAATCATTGCTCCGTCGAGCTGCTGCTGCGGTGTCTGGTACTGCAAATTCACGTCAGCTAGAAGAAGATAAGGTTCTAGATCGCTTCCGTGAGGTTAGTGCTCGTTGATGATAACCTGATCCTGTGAGTATGCCCGCATTCAAACTCGATTTCATATTGTCATTACTCCTAAAATCTCTTGTTTATCCTGATTCCGTTTTGGCAATGTCGGTTAAAATGGTATTATGGGTAAGGATACTGGTGAATAAGATCATTTACAATACCAGGTTTTCTCATTGTCACCAACTTTATCATCAGCGAGGGCTTTTTGAGCAGGCTGACAGAAAGCATTTCCTCAGATGTCCTGCTACTGAGCGTTTAATTTAAAGAAATTTCTGTGTATGACAGCTCTTTGCTTGGTCGCTTCCATCATCCTGGAAACTGTTAGTATGTATGTATATATGTATTCAATAAAAGGAAGAAAAATATTTCAACTGATTTGGGGTAGGAAGCGGGCACACAAGTCCTTGTTTTTTACTATGGTCTTCTTGCTTGTAAAATCACTTCAATGCCACTTATCCTCTGTTTTGTTCCACAGCTACTCATGCATGGTATGTCCATGAAAGCTTTGGAGCACGCATGCCGTTCACAATTATGGGGTCATGCGTTCGTTCTCGCACAGCGAATTGGACCGGCAGTGTTTCAGAAAGTGATGGATCGGTTCCTCACCCGTGCTATCTCCACCTCAGATCCCATTCTTACTTTGTATCAAATCACTGCAGGCGAATTGCCTCAAGCGGTCAGCGCGGCCGCCTACGGAAGAGGTGAGCATGTGTGCGTGTTTTCTGCTCCTCTTTTATAGGGGCTTCCATTTTCACTCCCCGACCTCTGGTTCATCGATGTATAATTTCTTTTCAGAGAAATGACTCGCTTGAATGCGAGGATTCGTTAAAACTGCTGTAGTCCGTAATTTTAATTGCACGCTTACTTCGTCAAATTGGAGGATATTCAGCCGGGTGTATCTCTCCTAGGGTATTCTAAAACACCTGTAACCTTTGTGCCCCAAGTGTTTTTTCCTGAGTTTCTTACTTTTGTGGGGTGCTTCTGATTCTTCCTTCGCAAATTGCGAATGCCTCCTGGTCTTTTAGATTAGATCTTTATCGACTTGGGTTGGCCTGGCGGAAAAAGCCGAAAAACTTGTTGGAAACGATTTCCATTGCATTTTCGCTATTCAGTAAATTTTACTTTAAAACTACATACGATTCTGTGTGCAAAAGCCAGCTAGCTGGAATTGAAGTAGTGACACCTCAAACTTTTCGACAGCTGAGCTATTGCAAAAATATCTAACGAGCGCAATTTCGTACTGCTCTGTTATCGATTGGAAATGTTTTCATCATTATCAAGCATTCTAATTCAGTTTTCGCTCCCGCTAGTCCTGTGATTCCCATTTTAGCAACTCATTTGACCAACGGACCCTAGCATGTTTCTCATTTTGCACATTCGTTCTTTGCCCCCCACGGTGTTTTCCCTCAGGCTCCGACAACGGCGAATGGCGTCCCCATTTGGCTATGATTTTGGCCGCCGAATCGGTTCAACCCGAGTTGACACAAATGGCTCTTGAAAGACTTGGAGACAGCTTGCTCTCGCGACGCCTCGTTTATGCGGCTCATTTGTGCTACCTCCTCATGGGTCCCCTGGTCAAACACGGTCCATCCAGTTGTACGCAACAACCGGTTTACCAACTGCCGGAGAAAATCGTCCTACTGGGAGTAAATTTGTCCGGATCGGATACTGCTGGACCCACAGTCTACGGAGAAAGCCGTGCATCGTCCCTCAACCCGTTGAATGCTTCCACAGAGGCGATTCAACTGACTGAAGTTTATGAGTATGCAATGCGACTAGCCAATCAAAACTACCGACTACCTCAGTTACTGGTAGGTTTTCAACATACTGAGTAAACCGCCCTCTAGTAGATCCCTAATCAGGTTACTGGTTCCCGTAAGTCTTGTTAGGCTCCCTGGATGGGGACGTTGGGACAAATGTAACCGATAGTTAGTGACAGTGATATGGCTGAGTGTCGTAAACAGTGGCGTTCGTGTATCTCCTCAATTTTTTTGCAACACTAGTCCGCTGAAATTCTCCATTTTCGGCTCTACTTTTAGCTTTTCTGTCTTTCTCTCATCCAAACGGGCAGCCAACAGATAGCAACCAAAACCGGTGCACGAAAGTGGATGGTTAATGATTGTACAAATTGAAACTAGTAGATCCGCTCCTTTGTCGTCGCAGTCGTTCAGGCCACTTCGCGCTACACAATAATATTTTTTTGCTTCGTTTTATTGAATATACACATGTACCGCAAGTTTCAGGAAGTGGGTGGGCTGAGACACAAGGAGAAATGTTGGGCGGCGATGGTAGGATTGCAGCTCTCAACCGGTTCGGTGAGATGACGACCTTTACCTGATCATCCCATTGGTTGTATAACTGTTGTGTAGTGTTTATCAAGTAAAGCCCTTCCAGGATCAGACGTTCCCCGTTCGACCAAATCATCGGATCGGCGTATTGGAGTCGGTAAACGTTACGCAATTGTATAACCAATGAAGAACGCTAGGTCGATGAACACACAGGTGCGACACGACCTGCAACACCTGTGGCGCCGTCATGACGTCCGATTATCCCTTAAGGGACAGGTGTACATTGCCTTAGTTCGTATTGTTCTGCCTTACGCTTGCGAAACTTGGCCCCTTCGCGTTGAGAAAGCTAGTCGACTTTCTGTATTCGATCACCGATGTATGCGAACCATTGCTCATGTCTGTTGAGAACATCTAATGAGCAATGACCAAGTCCATCGTCGTGTGTTGGCTACTGATAGTCACTCTCTTAAAGAAGTAATCGCTCTACACCGCCTCCGATGGTTTGGTCACGTTAGGCTTATTTCTGCCCATCGTCTACCTCTCTGTGTTTTATTTACACTTTCTGGGCAAGGTAGGAAGAAACGTCGCGGCGGTCAGACCATGACATTGCATGTAGATATAAAGAAGCTAGCTTCAGCTTTGACCTCACATGGCCTTCCAGGTTGGGGCCCTTGGGATAAGGATTGTCGTTGGTTAGAGACACTAAGAGATATGGCCCAGAATAGAAGTCAGTGGCGCCTGTTGAAAGCTCGTGTCCGTAAAAAACGATAAACACAAAAATATCTTAGTATACGGTAAAAAAGTTGTTATTCTTGTTATGTACTGTTATCGATCGTGACTGTTTAGCCTATATCACTCTTTTTTGTGTCCCTATCCCCCATCTCCTGTTATGGCTATTACTGTTGTGGCATTGTCACGATGCTTGCTCGCAAGCCGGTGATAAATGTACGAATATATATATTCTCAGATCGATCTTGTTCATACTTCACTTGACGCAATCGGTTTGGTTTCACGGTAGATTAGTAGATTAATGCACACTTCAGCAGCACAATCATGTTTCGGGAAACCGTGACGAGAATTATTAGCAGTAAAATCCCTATATTCCGATATCTTCTGTTATGCAGCCATTCAAGTTGGTTTACGCAACTCGGCTGATCGATGCTGGTCTGTTGGACAAAGCGTATCGGTATTTGGCTACAATCGGAAGAGATCTATTGTTGGAGGCCAGTCGCTACGAGAGTTCTGGCAACCGTCAATCAGTAAATCCCCTTCTGTACAGCATGGTGGGCAATTGTCTGCGCTTGATCGAGCCGTTGCAGAATCATCCTGAGTTGGACGGGTTTGAGTTATCTGGACCTTCACGTGTCCCAATGAGTCTTGCCGGTGGTGCTTCTGGTGGTGATTTTCTACAGCAACTTCGTGATCTGTACGATCGAATGAATCGACAGGTGAGGTTTGTTTTTGCATCTGTTTCTGGTACCTCTCAGTTGCTGTGTATTCCTATTAAAATACACAATCAGTTTCACGATCCTCATCAATCACTCGTGAATATATTTTTAACAGCTATTGGGTTTTGTCCTCGTTGCGGTTCTGGTTCGTGTACTACGAACTCTAAACCATGTCCTTCCGTAGCTGTACTACTGATAATTGCTTAACACATTGCTCCCTCATATGTCCTTTTTGTATAACTATTTGCATTTTTTCGTATGCATCGTTTTTTGTCGTAACTGTAAAGGTCACTGTCACATTCGAGACTATCTCAGCTTTGCAATCAACATTCGTCTACATTCCCGCCTCATGTATCCAGCTCGCTCGTGCCCAATACGCATGTGTTATGTACACGGTGCCGAAACCCTCCACGGATACTACTGGTTCTGGTGATACACACATGACCTCTGAACATAGTTCCCAGCGTCAAATGCTTCAGGAGACACCCGGTCAAAGTGGTCCAGTTCAAACGGAGTCGCACCATCACCCCATGATTCCCGCCTCTGTCAATTCTTCAGTTATGGAGACCAGTTCCACTGCGCCACCTGTCACAGCCTATCTTGTTCCTGGACATCGCCAATCAACTGATTCTCAAAGTCTTGGTACTGGACGTTCGGATATTGCCGCACCGTCCTATCCAATCTCCGATCCCATGGCCTACGGGACACCTCCGGGCGAAGTACAAAACTCCAAACCGGTTATGTCAATGAATCCTGACAGAATGGACTCCACAATGGGGTTCATGTATAATGCCTCCGGATCCCGCATGTCATCTAGCACCGGCCATATTTCGGCACCACAACCAGTCGGACCTACAACTGTGAGTGTTCTTTCCTTTCACTTGTCCCGTTTATTTTACGTATTTTGCTTGTTCTCCCGTACGAGCCATCGTCATTCGAGCATTGTTGCATTTCGATTTTGATTTCATTTCGATGGAAACTCGTTAGATAAACTGTGCATGTACATGTATTGTCCGTATAATATATATACATATTTGATAACAATAGTATGTGAAGGGCCAAACAAAATTTCCCTGGAAGCACACGACCGGTTTCGCGGTTCTTGCCGCTCATCAGGCATGCGTATCTGGTAATCTTTTGTCAGTTCATTCATATATTTGTATCCAGTAGGTGTATTTTCGTCACAATAACCTTGTTTGCAACACCGGGTGACCATTTGGTATATATATATATATATATCAAGTCAAGTCAAAAATCGCTTTATTTATCCTAATTGATGGATTCTCAGCTTTTTGCACTCCAGGAACATTTATCGTCGCATACAGTCACAAAAAAGTGAGAAAAAAAGCATCGTCAATTCAAAGAAATGTGTAGTACAAAGTTTGAAAATGAACGTCAGTTGCCTAGGAATTTCAAAAAGTCTTCTCTAACAGATGCCT